CGTCTCCACAGGACCCTGCATGTTCAAGTTACTGCATTTTACGTCACTGACGGGATCTGCTGCCGTCTCATGCAAAGCCACATTGGGCCACGCTCGGATGAGATGCTCTGCATTGTCCCTCATTTCCTTTGCACTCACACAAGGGATGAGTAAAAAAAAAATAATTAGCAAGTTGCAGCATGTACAACATTCTTTGGCACGTTTTGTTCCAAAGTGCTTGCCACAAATGAACTACACTACCTTGCTGATCTCGTCAAGTAGCATAAACCATCACGCAACATCTGGTCATCTTCACAAGGGCTTTAAGCTGGCAAATTGAACAAAGATGGACACCACATCACACACTTTCAGACGCTTCTGCGGCCGTCCAGAATACACTTTTCTTCCCATATTAGGAAGCCACTGGAGCTATGCACTTTTAAATCTATATTGAAAACGTATTTCTTTTTAACTGCTTTTTGTGTTTAGTTTGTCCTTCCCGCACACCTACAATTAGCACGGTTGTCTAGGTACGGTGCAAAATAAGTTCAATATACATATATACAGGGAGAGGAGCCACACCCCCCATGGGCACTGAGATCTGTAAATCGGAGGAGACTCAGCCTTTATTCCATTGTTTGTGGCATGCTGAGCACGATAAACACAGAGTTAAGGGTCCGTGGAGAATTGTTCCACTCTGATATGGACCTCGCAAACTTATAATAAAATGCAAGTGAACAACGTCACCCGCTGGTGTTACTTTTATTACGGGGATTGCGATATTTTAGGGTATGTGAACAAATCCACTTTTCCATGCATCGTGAAACCCGCAGCATAAGCAGCTCTGCCCTCAGCATGGACTCCTCCTTCATGGCTACAAAGTTATGGCCGAAACGGGGTTATCTGCCGAGGGGATCCCTAGCACAAATAGGGTTTAATGATAAGAGGATACTGGATAAAGACTTGTATGTAAGTAAGAACATTTGATATTGTGCATTCCTATGAGCCCAGTCCATCACGAATGCGCATTGATCACAAGTTGAAGTAGGCTGTCTGAAAGAACACTGTTTTGAGTCTGTTGTGGAACTGGCTCAGGCTCAGGGATGGATCCCGAACATGAGCTGGCAGCTTGTTCCAGGTCTTTGGGCCAGTGACCCAGAAACTGCGCTGGCTGTATAGCACGAGGTTTACACGTGGGTACAGCAGCAGGTCGCCGTGAGCCACGGGTCATAGTTGGAGTCAGTTTGGGTCTGTTGAAGCTGGTATGCACTGATCGGCACGATGGGATGGAGAAAATTGATGGAGACTCTTGAAGACGAGTAGGCATAATTCATACCTGATCCTGTATTTAATTGGTAGCCAGTGCAGGTCATGTTGAACATCTTTCGCACCATACATAGCCATCTGCGCTAATCGGAGGTGCACTGGAAGGACAGCAAACTAAACACAAAGAGCAGTTATAAAGAAATTAGTTTTCAATTTAGATTAAAAAGTGTAATGTGTATTATACGGAGTATATAATTTCAAATCCCAATTTGGTATAGTTAGAGAGGCAAAAGGACTTTGTAGTGTATGCCAACCTGTGACCTCATTAACTAATTGAAATCAATGCCACAAGGGTAATAACCTGGTGTTATGGTCCAAGACTATTCAGAAATGGACCAAAAAAAACTGGCAACATCGCATTGCTCATACGCTATGAGACTGCAAAAACATTGCTGCTTCGGCAAATAATTAACAGATCATTTAACTGTCGGTTCCGCGGTTGTGCAGTATAAGAGATAATTCAATTACGTGATCAATAACATTAGTCAAGAACCCCCGTAGACTGTAAATTAACTGAGTCCTAGCATCCGTTTATTAAATGCCATGATTAATGAAACTGAACGTTAGAGTTGTTTTTCTTTTGCCAGGTAATTGCAGTCGGTATTAACCCGTTTAGAAAACGTGACCTATCCAGAAATGTAATTTTTTTTGTAATGGCATAGCTTTAAAGAGTGACGTTTGGTAAGTGTGTTTTGTTGTTGTTGACATTTTATTCTACGGCACGTTGACTTAATTTTTTTTTACTTCACAGATGTTGAGAAATGCACAATGTCGCTGCATGATCACTGCAGTCGTTATAAATATATTATTGATATATTGCAATGCTTTCCTTCATACATGTGCCAATATATTATTTTCAGGCATTGTTGTTGCTGTCTCCTCTGTATTTTTGCAAGTGCAATTTGAGATGGCCCCTATACTGTGTGTTGTTTTGAGTTGACTAAATGTAGTCTAACCTTACATACACATGGGAAATACATAATTAAAAAGACAAATACATCGCATTGAGCACTGATCTAGCAGTGGAGTACGAGCACAAAAGGACGTTCGTCCTTTCAAGACGGGCCCTTACCCTACCGTTCGCCCAATTTCGGGCCATGTGAATGTTTCGGGCCATGTGAATGTTTCGGGCCATGTGAATGTTTCGGGCCATGTGAATGTTTCGTTCTTGCATATGTCATGTTAATTTTAATTGCTTTGACTTGCAATATTTTTTAGTAGGGCACCAGATGTTTATTTTGAATAATGTTGATGCAAATTAATTATATATAAAACAATTATAAAATGTAAGCAGGGAAACTGTCACATTTTTATACTAAACCGACATGTAAACAGGAACAATTAGATTTCCTTCCACAGAATTCTGTTGTAAAATGGTCATTGTTCGACAATCCAGCTTTGTCTAACGTAAGCAATGCAGACTGATTGCATTATTATTGAAACGAAGGTGTTCGTACATCAGAACACTATGAACCTTGGGTTAACTGCACTTGACTCAACCGCACACAACAGCTGTGCACATGTGGTGTTTAATGAATGTTTAATTTGTAGGTGACCTTTACTTATGACCAGGTGAAAGCAATAATCTATTTATCAAGGGAGACCTGGCTCGCAATAAGTAAAGGGGAAAAAACTGATTTCAAATGTGAATAAAAAAACAACAACAACACAGGAATACAGAAAATATATAATGCAGCAAGGCAATTAATAGAGCGTGTGTGCTGGGCTCAGAGTTTTGTGAAATTGGTTCCACCAAAGCCCGGCGCTATTTTTTGCCTCTTGCTGTGAACGACTCCCCCACCCTTCCCCACGACTCCACCACCGCCACCAAAGACAAAGGTCCTCCTTGTAACCCTAACAGACTGTTGGAGCAAGTGCGTGTTCATGAGCAGCACCTATGAAGGCCGGCACTGCACACGAGGGGGTGGGTAGGTGGCAAGAACCACACCCAGTCGCCTTTGTCTCCCTAACGGGATGTTTACAAATCGCACCAGGTACTCATTTGAGGCTGAGTGCGATCTAGGGGAGGCCCAGGACCGGTTTAGATAATCGTCACTGGTGTTGGGTGTGAGCAGGAATTGAACTCGGGTCGCCGGATTCGTAGCGCAGCGTGCTGGACCGCTACACTATGGCTCCCCAGGGCACAGATTTAAAAAAATGTTATGCTTTTTTTATTTAAAGCTTTCGTGACTGCAGGGATTCATATTCGTGGTTCTTTCGGTAAAGTCACGTAGAAGGGAAACAATAAAATAATAAAAATATTAAATTAAATTCTCACGACGTTTCGACACGATTGCTTGTGTTGCAGTCGAAACGTCGTGAGAATTTAACTGTTTTATATTATTATTTTATTGTTTCCCTTCTACGTGACTTTACCGAAAGAACCAAGAATATGCTTTTTCTGTTTAGTTTGTTGTCCTTCCCCCGCACATTGGATTAGCATGGTTGGCAGTGTATGGTGCGAAAGATGTTCAACGTACATACATACAGGCGTCAGGGTTGGGATCGAACCCACGCACTCCTGCAGGCGAGGCAGATCACATCTCGCGGTGCCCCTTACCCCACCTGGGGACTCGGTGCCCCCATACTCTCCGCCCTCTCGCTCGCTACGGCCTCTCTGCTCACCCCCCTCACCCACGCAGCCCCCCGTGTTCATGTCACCTCTACCCCCGCTGGTTCTATTGGGGCTGTAACGATGTCAATCCCTCTCCCGTAGCGACGAAGATGAATTATCGCGACAAAAGGACGTGTAATATTCCACTTGTTCTCTTGTTTTCATCCGTTTCGTTTTTACTGCGAGTAATTTTCTTTTTTTCCTTTCTCGTTTCTACGGTTTTGTACGCTCCACTGGATTAATTGTAACAGCGTCATCATTATATATGTAAGCAGTAAATAATCGATCACAAGCGCAATGCAATACCTGCATTTTGAGGGTGCAAGATACATTGTCAATCAATGCATCGAGATGCTTGATTACTTACCTATTTTCTTTATTACTATTATGATACTGTTCGATCACACAGTGGTTCTCATCATTCACTCTGGTCAATAACGACTACACACAGCTTTCGTTCACTGTCAGACAGGCAGAGACAGGATTGTCCACAGGCACTGGGCACTACAAGCAAGCTGGAATACAGCCATAAACCATCGCCAGCAATTTTCCCAAGGGCCTACATTGGGATGTTTGACCAACTCCATTCCTCTTCCGTATGGCAGGGTGATTTAGCAATGTTATCTGCCGCTGCCGATGTCGAGGTTGGTGAGCCTTATGAGTGTTTATACAATGGAGTATATCATGTAGGTTAATTTAGATCGAGATACCGTGCTGTACAAATTCCTCGTATCGCTGTCCAGTGTTTGGTACGTGCTGTCTCACATTGCTAATTTGGTCGTCTCTTCGTTAATTGAAAAGTGATGCACGTCGCAGGAGAGAAAAGTCTGAGAAAACATCAACGTGGCAGTGAATGCAGCGATTGTCGAGCGCATCCGATTAGCACGGTTGGCTACGTATGGTGCGATAGAAGTTCAATATACATAGAGTCACGCAGAGAGCCATAGTTTGGTGTCCTTCCCCCGCACCTCCGATTAGCGCGGTTGGCTACCTACGGTGCGAAAGAAGTTCAACATACACACACACATCTGCAACATCTCCACGCTGAGCCTCTCCACTCATTCTCCCTCATCCCCCGCAGGTCGGCAAGTGGGAGAACGGGCTGATGATGCTCAAGTACCCAATATGGCCACGCTACGAGTTCTCGTCGTCGACCATCAAGGACGAGCGGCACCTGAGCATCGTGACGCTGGAGGAGCGCCCCTTCGTCATCGTGGAGAACGTGGATGCGCTCACGGGCACCTGCATGCGCAGCACGGTCGCCTGCCGCCAGGAGATCAACATGACCGAGTGAGCACCTCACTGCCGCCCCACCCCTCCACCCCCGGTTCCTGCTCACGTGGCGCGCACTGCGCAAGGGGGTTTCTCTCTATAGTATAGAACCCCTAACCCTGGTGCCCAACTGCGTTGCTTTACTCGGGGGCGCCGCGGTGGCGAGATATTGTTTACCTCGCCTGGTATGCAAGAGGTATGTGGGTTCGATCCCGAGTCTGACGCCTGTGGTATGTTTGGAGTTTGCGTGTCTCTCTCACACCGTGGTCGCGTGAATTTTTTTCTGGGTCGTCCGGTTTTTCCCTCCACATTTAGAATCAACATGCGTTCAGAGTATTTGGCTACTGCTAGAAACTTCCTCCTAATAAGCCACTTCGTTGAGCTCATCATTATGGCTTTGTCGCTTCTGAAAAACAGCTATATAGCTCAGTGGGCCTTACCTGGTAAAATAATATTTGTTTAGTTTAGTTTTTAAAAGTGTAACTCGGTCACTAAATGGTCACTGCATCAGGCGCTTTCAGATGGGCTTCTGCGGCCGTTTGGAACGCTCTTCTTTCTGATATTAGGAAGCCACCGGAGCTATACACTTTTAAATATAGATTGAAAATGATTTTTTTAGAACTGCTTTTTGTGTTTAGTTTGTTATCCTTCCCCTGCACCTCTGATTAGCACGGTTGGCTACGTATGGTGCAAAAGAAGTTCAACATACATACACATGTACTCGACCGGGTTACATAGGGCAATCATCGCCCTCCCTGCCCCCCTAACGACATAATAATGCCGATTCTAGGTTCCGTGCTGTGTCACCTCGTGCTGCACTGGGACAGCTGTCACTGGGGAATGCCCTTTGAACGTTTGAGATGAGGATGATGCCCTGGCGTGAAGGGCACTGTATCAAGAACATCATGATCGCTCTTCTTTGGTTCTTTCGGTAAAGTCACGTAGAATGAGAATAAAATAATAAATTGATAAAATAAAATAACACAATGAAATTCTCACGACGTTTCGGCCACAACACAAGCGGCCTTCATCAGGTGAAGGGACGAGACTGTCTGGAGGACAGCGCTGGAGCGAACAAAGCCACCCATAGTGTCGTCCTGCATCCCACTTAGCCAGGATGTCAAGAGTCACAGGTGCCATAGGGGCGATATGTTAACTACCACGCCTGGTCATTGGTTCGATCCCGGCCCTTGCTGTATATTTGAAGTTTGCATGTTTCTCTCACCGTGCGATAAATTTACACGTGATAAGCCACTTCATTGAGTTTATTATTTGTGGCCAGGTCGCTTCTGCAAAATATCTATATAGCTCAGTGGGCCTTCCCTGGTAAATATGGAGGGAAAAACCGGAGGACTGCAGAAAAATCCAAGTGACCACGGGGAGAACATGCAAACTCCAAATATACAGGCATCAGGGTCAGGATCTATGCCCACAACCTCCTGTATACCAGGCGAGGTAGTTCACATCTCACTACTTTGCAACATCGCCGACTCCTGTGAAATTACTGCAGATCGTGTCTGGAAGACATGGCACCTTCGTGATGGCCTTGCTGCATGATGAGTATTGATGATTATTTATCTTTTGATGTTGTAAATTGATGAGGAGCTCTTGTTTGTGCGTCGATGTTTTTTGTTTGCTTACTCTTTTTGTCCATGACCTCGACGGCAGTGCGATATCGAGTTTACTCGCATTGTTGAGAAATTCCTCCAGTGATTGGAAAGAGTTTGTACACAGCCATGCACTCTTTATGTAAATGTACGGTCTGCACACGTGTGTGTGCATCAACTACGAGATGGCGTTGTGTTTGCTGCATGAGTTGATGGGGGGCGAGAGGGTGGTGCGGATGGGGAAAATGCACCCGTTTCTTCGTGGGATTATGTATTATGTATGTTGAACTTCTTTCACACTATACGTCGCCAACCGTTCTAATCAGAGGTGCAGGGGAAGGACACCAAACTAAACACAAAAAAAGCAGTTCGAAAAAATGAGTTTTCAATCTATATATTAAAGTGCATAGCTCCAGTGGCTTCCTAATATTGGAAGGAAGAGTGTTCCAGATGGCAACGGAAGCGTATTTGAAAGTGCCATGCGATACAGCGACCGTCTTTGTCCGATGGCTAGCCAAAAGCCGCTGCTGTGAGGAAGACCGGAGTTCGCGTGATGATGGTTTATGCTAATTGTCGAGATCAGCGAGGTGTTGTGGTTCATTTGTGGTAAGCACTTTGTGTGTAATGATTGCGACCTCATAATGTAATCGTTCGGCAACCAGAAACCAATACAGCTCGGCGAGCACTGGATGGACATGGTCGGATCTTGCAGTACCCGTCACGACATCTGCTAAAGAATGTTGTACACGCTGCAGGTCGCTCTCTCTCCCCTGCTGTCCGTGCTGTTGAATCCCTGCCTAAGTTAAGGTCCAAGCGTTAGGACATCTTATTTTCCATTGCCTATCACTCGCTGCTGCCTATGCTCCATAGAAATAGCCCGCTGGTCTGTACAGCGTCTCGAGAGTTGGTCTCATTTTGATGCCACTTAAGTACAAATTGCATTGTGATGGTGGTGAGGATAACAGTCATTGTGTTGGTGGTGAGGATTAGTCAGAAGTACTATTGACTAATAAGATTAGTCAGTCATACTACTGAGGATTAGTTTACTACTGACTACTGTGAGAGGTACACTACTGCACTACCGATTAATTGTACGTGCACTACTGCATTACATCTAATTGTGGGCATTTTACCATACTGCAGATTTATCATGATTAATTAAACAATCGCACCATAAAACCTCCACCAACAACTTGAGCTGCCGCTGATATTTAAGACCATCTCAAAGTGAGCGTCAATATTTCCTGACGAAGTCCACAATGTCAAGGTCTCTCTTTCCTCTAGGCGGCAGTCAAACGTCCCATTTCTTGTGAGCTATCCTGTAATTCATCATGTAAGTTCGCCGAAGCAGGAACATTATACTTTATACCGTTCAGAAAGTTTTATGTTTAATGTGGCCTTGCTGGCAATAAAGGCAGGATAATGGAATGGGGTGACTGATGGTCTGATGACATCACAGCTGGCCTTGGGAAAATGGATATGAAGACTACCGTTTACTAACTGTGACCACATTGTTCTGGTTGCATGTAATAGCACTTGTGTGCCTCTCTTAATCACACACAAAGCATCGCCATCATCCTGGTATTGATTTTTATCATGTTTTTTTGCATGCCTATATTGCTTACAATTTATTTTCTCGTCGATTTTAGTTTAAGTCTTTTTTTGTTTTGTTTTCACAGTTGCAATACCTGTGGCCAATGTGCTTAAGATCCCTGTGATGTATGAACAACATCTTACTTTCCCCTGTGAATGAACGATGCTGCCCCAGCCACATTTTTGCACATTTTAAAGCAGCTCATGCAAGATGTGGGCATTGTGACTCGTAGGTCAGAGTATTGAGACGGCACCATAAAGAGCCTGGGTTTGAATCCGGGCAGGCATCAGTGATTAAACCAGGTTCTCAATTGCACTCTCGCGTATGGTCACTGCTTGAACACTTTGTGAATATTTCCTCTTTGTGAATTTACAAATTTTTTTAAATCTGTTTTCTTTTTTTTACCAAGAGGCTAACGTTTCCGTAGCATAGGGAAGTGCAGTGCCCCTTGTATGTATAACTTTAACGATCTCAGAATTAGTTTTGTGATATCACTTTCCATGGACTGTTCTCTGACGCACGGTGATGCACTGCTTACATAGGTCTTAGTTCAGTGATATGATGCCCATAGCAGAATTTTAATTCCATTATGAAATGAATAAGACATAAAGCAACATAACTTTTGGCTCCGTGGTTGTACATTGAGAGGCCCTGCAGTTTTAGTCCCCTGCCTCTATGACTATGTGACACTCGGCCAACAGCTCCATGGCTGATGGATCTATCGGCTTTAGTCCCACAATTGCACGTCTCTACAAGCGCCAGTCTCTGGCCACCAGCCCCACATCTCGGCGCCTCCAGCCCCACGGCGTCCCGCCATTTTGAGTCTTTAACCCACAGTTTTGGCAACGTTTCCGTCATGATGAGGCTGCCTGCCCCATGTCCCCCCTAACATTACTATTAGCCCATGTGGTCAGACCGCTTGTCACCCAAGAGCTGTTATGAGATCATTTGGCTGGCATCTCCACACCTATAGCACCTGCAGTGGCTTCAAGGCCGCTGGCATCGCATTTCTTCGTGTCAGACCGATACAAAGCCCACAGCCGATGCTTTCTTACACTATGACTCTGGCCTTACGTAACGGCCTAGAGTCTACACTTCACGTAGCTTCAAGGACCCTGACCACTGCTCTGAGGTTGTCTGATTTATTCACTCGCATACACATGAACTTTGATTTCTTACAAAAGAGGGAACACATGACGAGGTAAAGACAGGTGAGCGGCAACAGCTACATGAATGTGGCATAATGCGAGCTACTTCAAATAAGCACCGAGCCATCGAGGCAGCAATATGAGAGTGGGACGTAGGCAATCATCAGTAGGGAAGAGAGGCAGATGGGAATGGATTTTCAAAAAGGCAGCTTTGATTGAATTTTAGTGGAGGTTTGAGTGTTCATGTCAATACACAGCACCAAATGTGAGTGGAGGCCGACCAAAGCTTTGTTAAAAGCTGCTGCTAAACAGCGTTGTGCAAGAAATCCAGGTTTTTCTTGTGAACTTAGCGTTTATTGATGAGCATAATCCGAGATTTATATATATATAAAAAATACTCATGGATTCTGTCAAACTTTCTGACACGTGTTTGTCCTCGGACGTGTTTAATAAGCGACAATAGCGGGAGCACTTGCGCACCGCCGAGTGCACAGGATGCCGGCAGGCCGCGATGAGACCATGGGCCGAGCAGGGCAGCGCTTCAGGGGCGGGCTCACCCAGCCTGGCAGGGCAGCTCTGCCGGAGAGAGTTCACCCTGCCTAGTAGGGCAGCTCTGCAGGGGTGGGCTCACCGTGCCTGGTAGGGCAGTCTGCCAGGGAGAGTTCACCC